CTGGTTCCCCATGTCCCTTTCCCAGCTTCCCCCCATCCCCTTCCCTGCTTCCCCACGTCCCTTTCCTTGCTTCCCCATGTCCCTTTCCTTGCTGCCTTTGTAGATAGCTAGTCTTTCAGCACACCCCACCTATCTGCAGCCAGTGTTGCTTCAGCCTGGGCACTTCTCACACCCCATCCGCTTGCACATCATTGCAATTTATTGCCACCTTTGCTTTGCTGCTGTTGTTTGGCTTATAGTGCCTCACTGTTGCCGCAGGCACGGCTGCGCGTGGTGATGCTGCCTTTGCACTTCATGTGTCTTTCAGCCCTAACCCGTTTTCCAGCTACTAGCAGGACGTGTTGCAGGGGATCGTTGCACGGCTGAGTTTTTCTGTCATCAATCCATCTGGGTGGTCACAAGGGCAGGACACACAACGCACAACTCGCAGGGTGGGTCAATTTTCATCCAGCCCTCCCTGATTTCTCAGCTAGTGCGGGTTGCCTCCAAGCTGCTGATGTTCACGAATGCATATCTTGCTAGTGCCACATGTACAGCAGTATCTGGTGCAACTGCCTTTGCGGATCATCAAGGTTTAGTGTTGCTCTGTTGTGGAGCTGTTGGCTTCATACTCTGTTTTGCAGTCATCCATCCATATCGTAATGTCCTGCACAACAGCACATGGCACCGCATGCATAGCAGCACTTGGTGTTGTTGTCTTTGCGCTACTTGTCCTTGATCTCCCCACAGGCCGTTTTGCTTCAGCCGTCGCGCTACACCCGAGTAGGAATCATCCATTTCTCTGGGCAGCCACTAGAACAACAGCACATCGCAACAGTCCCAGGCAGGTCAGTTGTCGAGAATGTCTTGTGCTGCTGCCAATGCAGATGAGCTCGTTCTTGTTCGTCAATGTCCGGTGCCTCATGCATTGCGGTAATTGGCTCTGGTTGCCAGTGTGCTACTGCTATTCGAGTTTGCATGCCTGTTCGGACTTGATGCTACAGTCGTGGCAGAAAGCTTGTCTATCATCGGTCGATATGCCTGCCACAGGAAGGACAGCACAACGCACCATCGCCTTGGCATGTCAGTAACTACAAAGCTATCTGCAGCACTAGCTCCTGTTGCCTAGCACATCGCAGGTGTGCTGTGGCTGCAGCCACAGCAACATGCGTTACTTGTGCATCGTGTCTCTCCTACCACGTCACTGCTGTTATAACCATGGCATGTATCGGGTTTGCTGCAAAGGGCACAGCCCTAGTCATCTCTTCTGCATCTATCACAGCATGCGTTCTCACCCTTGCGAGCATAGCAGCACCTAGTGTTGCAGCCTTGCATTTCAATTGTCTTACATCCCTTTCCCATGGGAGCAGCTTGTTGACAGGCCGTGCTGCTGCAGCCGTTGCACTGCTGAGTCTTGAAGACATCCAATCATCTTGGCGTCGTCAATAACAACAACTCATCGCACTGCTGCCTTGGCAGGTCAGTCCTCATCCAACCATCCCATGCATGGGGATGGGTGCACAGCAGCGCGCAGTCCTATGTCATTTGCACAGCAGTTGTTTCTCAAACACCACTGTCTAGTACTAGGGGCACATCATCACATGGTCCCGCTGTCGGTGTGCAGGGTGCTGCGTGGGTGGCCATGCCTCGCTGGTGCCGCAGCGTAAGCAGCACTTGGTTTTCTTGCGTTTGCATTCCACTTGGAACTCATTCCTTTCCCATTTTCTAGTTTTCCGTGCGAACGTCCCGCTGTCTTTGAATTTTACCTCCCTTTCATTCCTTCTCCATTTGCCAGTTATCCAAAGGACGTTTTGCTGTTGCACTGCTGAGTTTGACAGTCACCCTTTCATCTGGGCGGCGGCAAGAACGACATAACATCACACTGCAACCTTGGCAGGTCAGTGCTCGTCTAACCATCCATCACTAGTGCCTCATGCATCGCGACAGTCCCTGGCAGGTCAGTTGTCGTGAATATCTCGTGCTGCTGCCTTTGCAGATGAGCTCGTTCTCGTACGTCAATGTCCGGTGCCTCATGCATCGCGGTAATGGACTCTGGTTGCCCTTGTGCTACTGCTGTTCGGGTTTGCATGCATGTTCAAACTTGTTGCTACAGTCGTGGCTGCTGCCACAGGAAGAACAGCACATCGCACCATCGCCTTGGCATGTCAGACTACAAAGCTATCTGTAGCACTAGCTCATGCATGTCATTTCTGCTGCCTCATGCTCAGCAGCGCGCGGTCTTATGTCATTTGCACAGCAGTTGTTTCTCAAACACCCCTGTCTAGTACTAGGGGCACATCATCACATGTTCCCGCTGTCGGTGTGCGGGGTGCAGTGTGGGTGACCATGCCTCGCTGGTGCCACAGCGTAAGCAGCACTTGGTGTTCTAGCATTTGCATTTCACTTGGACTCATTCCTTTCCCACTTTCCAGTTTTTCTGGCAAGCGTCCGGATGTCTTTGAATTTTACCTCTCTTTCATTCCTTTGCCATTTGCCAGTTATCCAAAGGACGCTTTGCAAGTTGTACTGCTGAACTTGTCTGCCATCCTTTCATCTGGGCGGCGGCGCGAACGGCAGCACATCGCACTGCAACCTTGGCAGGTCAGTGCTCATCTAACCATCCCTCACTAGTGCCTCATGCTCAACATTTTCGAGGCGCAGAGTCATTTGCATGGTAGTTGTAACCCAAACATTCTGTCTGTTACTAGGGGCACATCACCACTTGTCCCCGTCAGCCATGGTCTTGGGTGCTGTGCGGTTTTGCAAGCCTCGCTGGTGCCGCAGGCACAGCAGCGCCTGGTGTTGTTGCCTTTGCGTTTCACTTGCCCTATATTCCGCCGCCCATGTGGACATTGGTTGACAGGACGTGTTGCTGCAGCCATTGCACTGCTGGGTTCAGGGGACATCCATCCTTCTAATCGGCCACAAGGGCAGGAGGCTCATCGCGCAGCAGCCTTGGCAGGTCAGTTGTCATAAACCCCTCCCTGATTTCTCAACTATTCTCAGCCAGAACAGCTCAGCGCACCGCAACCTTGGTAGGTCAGTTTTGATCTCGCCTTCCCTGATTTTACACCAAAGCTTTGATCTTGGCTCTGCCACCTTTGCACTGCGCTTGTTTGTTAACCATTCATATCAAGTGCCCCAAAAGACGCAGCACTTGGGCCAGCTGCCTTATCACTTCATATGTCATTTTTCCCTCCCTGTTGGGCATCTAGATGCACGCCATCAATAACTATGCCCTCCTGCCCATCATCCCACGTGGGTATCTGTCTTACCCATCATGCGCATGCATACCCTCTTGGTTGTGTAGTATTCCCGGTATGTCCAATGTGAGTAGATCGAGTGTACATCCAGCAGCGCAAGCATGCAAGGATGCCACGAAGGGCAGCGCGAACACATCAAAGCATATGCGGCCTCTGTTGTGCGTGCTACGTGTGGGATTGTCCGCTTTGTTCGCTGGCGATGCTATGGCAACACCCGACGACGTTATTCATTTCTTAGCAGAGGCAGCACCAGATGCGACGCTTCGACTCATTACAGCTGGACTAGCCGCCGGTAAGTTGAAGAATGGTTGTGTCAACACATATTAGTTGCACGCAGGTCATTTCAGTGAATACGAGTACTATGTGCACCCTCATATGTGAACTCAATGACACCCAGATCCCGAGTCAGAGGGCACGCAAACCGGCGCCATGGTCGAGATGCACCGTCAAGAGTATAGTCGCATTTTCAAAGGGCGCGTTCATGGAGGCTACGAGAAGATTACAGATCTACTGGGACGACCGAATCGAGTGCTGCCTGGCGTCAAGTTTTCCTTTCCGATTATGAAGCTTGATCATCGCGGTAGCCACGTCCTTCTCCTCTCTCCCAGCTCCACCGACAACTTTCCCATCCTTCCCATGATCCCTATTAGAAATCATCTCAAAGACAATCACCTTGACCCTATCCCGCCTCCCCTCTCTCCCTTCTTTTCCCCTCTTCCCCACCACTCCCCACTCCCCCACGTTTTGACAGCCATTGCACGCAGTAAGCAGTGAGAGCTAGCTTGTCAACCTGCTGCTCCTCCTCGTTCTCAGCTCTCTTTACCTCCTCCTCCTCTGCCCCCCACCCCACTCCCCCTACGACCCTCCCATCCCCCCCCTCCCCCCTCCGCAAATCAGCCTTTGCCATGCTCCAGCAAGGAGAGCCCCTCGAAATTTCCCATCTACCCCTCCTTTCATGTGCCCGACGCCGCCACCCTTGACCACTCATCTCGGCTGGGCTTACCTAGACATATTCATCTCGACCATCTGGAGTGAAGCTCCGCATAAATCCCACAACGTATCTTGGGGAAATCGACTTTAGTTTATAGGCAACAGCAAGTCGTTTTTCTAAGGGCGTGTCATGCTTGGTGAACTTGCAGTTCATTCAAAGCGGCTGACTATGATGTGTCCGGTTCTATAACGGCAAGAGCGCTTTACGGATTCGAAGTGCTACGTACCATCCTAAACATTCTTTGGCGAGATGCGTTTTCACCATGTATGACACACCTTTATACCGAGAAACTGTTTTTGGATACTAGTATGCTTGTCGTTGGCTATGTTGTTTATGTTTAGGTAGGGAATATCACAGCTAGGAACAAGCTCACTTGTTCAAGACTTTTTACGCGTTGGAGCTCGGGGCAAGATTGAGATAGGGCATACACAGCACACCCCTTGCACACAGTATTATCAACAGGTAACCCCAATTCAGCATATAAACCATTGGCACCAAACAAAGCACGACCCACAAGTCGATCCCTGCTGCCAATCTCCATATCATGCCGCGGCCTCTACTCTCTATGCCATTCTTTTTGCGCCTTCCTACCATGCCACTCCGCACTGACCACACCACCCTGCTCTGCTCGATTCAAATGTCTGTGCCCCATGATCCAGATTCAACACAGTTGCCTGCACAGTGCTGGCTGTCACGCGTTGCAGTGTACAATCCCTCACACGCAGGGAAGGCGGCAACTTCAAATGCAGGGCCTTGTCGGGCGCAAGTCAGCATATGATATGGGGCAGCAGGGGAGGCTGAAAGCAGTCTCGAGAAGAGGCTGCCTCGCAGCTCTGCCAGCTGCACGCCCTATCTCGCATATTCTGCCGAAGTGCGCTGTGGGCTGCTGCTGCTTCGTGACCGGCGTGGCGGTGCGCGGAGGGGTTCGCCTCGGGGCGGATCCGGTCGTAGATCTGCTTTCCAGCAGCTGAGGGGCTGGAGAGTGGGGCGTGGGAGACCAAAGGAGTGAGTGGGCGTGACAAGTGTGCGAGTTGGGAAGGGAGAAGGGAGGGATGGCGACAGTGACGGGGATGCCAGCTAGCACGAAGGGGGAGAGTTACGGGGATGCCCTGCATGGGCCCACCTTGCTCCCACCTTGCTCCCCACCTTGCTCCCCACCTTGCTCCCCACCTTGCTCCCCACCTTGCTCCCCACCTTGCTCCCCTCCCCACCTTGCTCCCCACCTTGCTCCCCACCTTGCTCCCCACCTTGCTCCCCACCTTGCTCCCCCCTTTGCTCCCCACCTTGCTCCCCACCTTGCTCCCCACCTTGCTCCCCACCTTGCTCCCCACCTTGCTCCCCACCTTGCTCCCCACCTTGCTCCCCACCTTGCTCCCCACCTTGCTCCCCACCTTGCTCCCCACCTTGCTCCCCACCTTGCTCCCCACCTTGCTCCCCACCTTGCTCCCCACCTTGCTGCTCCCCACCTTGCTCCCCACCTTGCTCCCCACCTTGCTCCCCACCTTGCTCCCCACCTTGCTCCCCACCTTGCTCCCCACCTTGCTCCCCACCTTGCTCCCCACCTTGCTCCCCACCTTGCTCCCCACCTTGCTCCCCACCTTGCTCCCCACCTTGCTCCCCACCTTGCTCCCCACCTTGCTCCCCACCTTGCTCCCCACCTTGCTCCCCACCTTGCTCCCCACCTTGCTCCCCACCTTGCTCCCCACCTTGCTCCCCACCTTGCTCCCCACCTTGCTCCCCACCTTGCTCCCCACCTTGCTCCCCACCTTGCTCCCCACCTTGCTCCCCACCTTGCTCCCCACCTTGCTCCCCACCTTGCTCCCCAACCTTGCTCCCCACCTTGCTCCCCACCTTGCTCCCCACCTTGCTCCCCACCTTGCTCCCCACCTTGCTCCCCACCTTGCTCCCCACCTTGCTCCCCACCTTGCTGCCCCACCTTGCTCCCCACCGTGCTCCCCACCTTGCTCCCCACCTTGCTCCCCACCTTGCTCCCCTTGCTCCCACCTTGCTTCCCCACCTTGCTCCCCACCTTGCTCCCCACCTTGCTCCCACCTTGCTCCCCACCTTGCTCCCCACCTTGCTCCCCCACCCTTGCTCCCCAACCTTGCCTCCCCACCTTGCTCCCCCCCTTGCTCCCCACCTGCTCCCCACCTTGCTCCCCACCTTGCTCCCCACCTTGCTCCCCACCTTGCTCCCCCTTGCTCCCCACCTTGCTCCCCACCTTGCTCCCCACCTTGCTCCCCACCTTGCTCCCACCTTGCTCCCCACCTTGCTCCCCACCTTGCTCCCCACCTTGCTCCCCACCTTGCTTCCCCACCTTGCTCCCCACCTTGCTCCCCACCTTGCTCCCCACCTTGCTCCCCACCTTGCTCCCCACCTTGCTCCCCACCTTGCTCCCCACCTTGCTCCCCACCTTGCTCCCCACCTTGCTCCCCCACCTTGCTCCCCACCTTGCTCCCCACCTTGCTCCCCACCTTGCTCCCCACCTTGCTCCCCACCTTGCTCCCCACCTTGCTCCCCACCTTGCTCCCCACCTTGCTCCCCACCTTGCTCCCCACCTTGCTCCCCACCTTGCTCCCCACCTTGCTCTCCCACCTTGCTCCCCACCTTGCTCCCCACCTTGCTCCCCACCTTGCTCCCCACCTTGCTCCCCACCTTGCTCCCCACCTTGCTCCCCACCTTGCTCCCCACCTTGCTCCCCACCTTGCTCCCACCTTGCTCCCCACCTTGCTCCCCACCTTGCTCCCCACCTTGCTCCCCACCTTGCTCCCCACCTTGCTCCCCACCTTGCTCCCCACCTTGCTCCCACCTTGCTCCCCACCTTGCTCCCACCTTGCTCCCCACCTTGCTCCCCACCTTGCTCCCCACCTTGCTCCCCACCTTGCTCCCCACCTTGCTCCCCACCTTGCTCCCCACCTTGCTCCCCACCTTGCTCCCCACCTTGCTCCCCACCTTGCTCCCCACCTTGCTCCCCACCTTGCTCCCCACCTTGCTCCCCACCTTGCTCCCCACCTTGCTCCCCACCTTGCTCCCCACCTTGCTCCCACCTTGCTCCCCACCTTGCTCCCCACCTTGCTCCCCACCTTGCTTCCCCACCTTGCTCCCCACCTTGCTCCCCACCTTGCTCCCCACCTTGCTCCCCACCTTGCTCCCCACCTTGCTCCCACCTTGCTCCCCACCTTGCTCCCCACCTTGCTCCCCACCTTGCTCCCCACCTTGCTCCCCACCTTGCTCCCCACCTTGCTCCCCACCTTGCTCCCCACCTTGCTCCCCACCTTGCTCCCCACCTTGCTCCCCACCTTGCTCCCCACCTTGCTCCCCACCTTGCTCCCCACCTTGCTCCCCACCTTGCTCCCCACCTTGCTCCCCACCTTGCTCCCCACCTTGCTCCCCACCTTGCTCCCCACCTTGCCTCCCCACCATTGCTCCCCACCTTGCTCCCCACCTTGCTCCCCACCTTGCTCCCCACCTTGCTCCCCACCTTGCTCCCCACCTTGCTCCCCACCTTGCTCCCCACCTTGCTCCCCACCTTGCTCCCCACCTTGCTCCCCACCTTGCTCCCCACCTTGCTCCCCACCTTGCTCCCCACCTTGCTCCCCACCTTGCTCCCACCTTGCTCCCCACCTTGCTCCCCACCTTGCTCCCCACCTTGCTCCCCACCTTGCTCCCCACCTTGCTCCCCACCTTGCTCCCCACCTTGCTCCCCACCTTGCTCCCCACCTTGCTCCCCACCTTGCTCCCCCTTGCTCCCCACCTTGCTCCCCACCTTGCTCCCCACCTTGCTCCCCACCTTGCTCCCCACCTTGCTCCCCACCTTGCTCCCCACCTTGCTCCCCACCTTGCTCCCCACCTTGCTCCCCACCTTGCTCCCCACCTTGCTCCCCACCTTGCTCCCCACCTTGCTCCCCACCTTGCTCCCCACCTTGCTCCCCACCTTGCTCCCCACCTTGCTCCCCACCTTGCTCCCCACCATTGCTCCCCACCTTGCTCCCCACCTTGCTCCCCACCTTGCTCCCACCTTGCCCCCACCTTGCTCCCCACCTTGCTCCCCACCTTGCTCCCCTCCACCTTGCTCCCCCACCTTGCTCCCCACCTTGCTCCCCACCTTGCTCCCCACCTTGCTCCCCACCTTGCTCCCCACCTTGCTCCCCACCTTGCTCCCCACCTTGCTCCCCACCTTGCTCCCCACCTTGCTCCCCCCACCTTGCCTCCCCACCTGCTCCCACCTTGCTCCCCACCTTGCTCCCCACCTTGCTCCCCACCTTGCTCCCCACCTTGCTCCCCACCTTGCTCCCCACCTTGCTCCCCACCTTGCTCCCCACCTTGCTCCCCACCTTGCTCCCCACCTTGCTCCCCACCTTGCTCCCCACCTTGCTCCCCACCTTGCTCCCCACCTTGCTCCCCACCTTGCTCCCCACCTTGCTCCCCACCTTGCTCCCCACCTTGCTCCCCACCTTGCTCCCCACCTTGCTCCCCACCTTGCTCCCCACCTTGCTCCCCACCTTGCTCCCCACCTTGCTCCCCACCTTGCTCCCCACCTTGCTCCCCACCTTGCTCCCCACCTTGCTCCCCACCTTGCTCCCCACCTTGCTGCTCCCCACCTTGCTCCCCACCTTGCTCCCCACCTTGCTCCCCACCTTGCTCCCCACCTTGCTCCCCACCTTGCTCCCCACCTTGCTCCCCACCTTGCTCCCCACCTTGCTCCCCACCTTGCTCCCCACCTTGCTCCCCACCTTGCTCCCCACCTTGCTCCCCACCTTGCTCCCCACCTTGCTCCCCACCTTGCTCCCCACCTTGCTCCCCACCTTGCTCCCCACCTTGCTCCCCACCTTGCTCCCCACCTTGCTCCCCACCTTGCTCCCCACCTTGCTCCCCCACCTTGCTCCCCACCTTGCTCCCCACCTTGCTCCCCACCTTGCTCCCCACCTTGCTCCCCACCTTGCTCCCCACCTTGCTCCCCACCTTGCTCCCCACCTTGCTCCCCACCTTGCTCCCCACCTTGCTCCCCACCTTGCTCCCCACCTTGCTCCCCACCTTGCTCCCCAACCTTGCTCCCCACCTTGCTCCCCACCTTGCTCCCACCTTGCTCCCCACCTTGCTCCCCACCTTGCTCCCCACCTTGCTCCCCACCTTGCTCCCCACCTTGCTCCCCACCTTGCTCCCCACCTTGCTCCCCACCTTGCTCCCCACCTTGCTCCCCACCTTGCTCCCACCTTGCTCCCCACCTTGCTCCCCACCTTGCTCCCCACCTTGCTCCCCACCTTGCTCCCACATGCTCCCCACCTTGCTCCCCACCTTGCTCCCCACCTTGCTCCCCACCTTGCTCCCCACCTTGCTCCCCACCTTGCTCCCCACCTTGCTCCCACACCTTGCTCCCCACCTTGCTCCCCACCTTGCTCCCCACCTTGCTCCCACCTTGCTCCCCACCTTGCTCCCCACCTTGCTCCCCACCTTGCTCCCCACCTTGCTCCCCACCTTGCTCCCACCTTGCTCCCCACCTTGCTCCCCACCTTGCTCCCCACCTTGCTCCCCACCTTGCTCCCCACCTTGCTCCCCACCTTGCTCCCCACCTTGCTCCCCACCTTGCTCCCCACCTTGCTCCCACCTTGCTCCCCACCTTGCTCCCCACCTTGCTCCCCACCTTGCTCCCCACCTTGCTCCCCACCTTGCTCCCCACCTTGCTCCCCACCTTGCTCCCCACCTTGCTCCCCACCTTGCTCCCCACCTTGCTCCCCACCTTGCTCCCCACCTTGCTCCCCACCTTGCTCCCCACCTTGCTCCCCACCTTGCTCCCCACCTTGCTCCCCACCTTGCTCCCCACCTTGCTCCCCACCTTGCTCCCCACCTTGCTCCCCACCTTGCTCCCCACCTTGCTCCCCACCTTGCTCCCACCTTGCTCCCACCTTGCTCCCCACCTTGCTCCCCACCTTGCTCCCCACCTTGCTCCCCACCTTGCTCCCCACCTTGCTCCCCACCTTGCTCCCCACCTTGCTCCCCACCTTGCTCCCACACCTTGATCCCCACCTTGCTCCCCACCTTGCTCCCCACCTTGCTCCCCACCTTGCTCCCCACCTTGCTCCCCACCTTGCCTCCCCACCTTGCTCCGCACCTTGCTCCCCACCTTGCTCCCCACCTTGCTCCCCACCTTGCTCCCCACCTTGCTCCCCCCTTGCTCCCCCCTTGCTCCCCACCTTGCTCCCCACCTTGCTCCCCACCTTGCTCCCCACCTTGCTCCCCACCTTGCTCCCCACCTTGCTCCCCACCTTGCTCCCCACCTTGCTCCCCACCTTGCTCCCCACCTTGCATCCCCACCTTGCTCCCCACCTTGCTCCCACCTTGCTCCCCACCTTGCTCCCCACCTTGCTCCCCACCTTGCTCCCCCACCTTGCTCCCCACCTTGCTCCCCACCTTGCTCCCCACCTTGCTCCCCACCTTGCTCCCCCTTGCTCCCCACCTTGCTCCCCCCTTGCTCCCCACCTTGCTCCCCACCTTGCTCCCCACCTTGCTCCCCACCTTGCTCCCCACCTTGCTCCCCACCTTGCTCCCCACCTTGCTCCCCACCTTGCTCCCCACCTTGCTCCCCACCTTGCTCCCCACCTTGCTCCCCACCTTGCTCCCCACCTTGCTCCCCACCTTGCTCCCCACCTTGCTCCCCACCTTGCTCCCCACCTTGCTCCCCACCTTGCTCCCCACCTTGCTCCCCACCTTGCTCCCCACCTTGCTCCCCACCTTGCTCCCCACCTTGCTCCCCACCTTGCTCCCCACCTTGCTCCCCACCTTGCTCCCCACCTTGCTCCCCACCTTGCTCCCCACCTTGCTCCCCACCTTGCTCCCCACCTTGCTCCCCACCTTGCTCCCCACCTTGCTCCCCACCTTGCTCCCCACCTTGCTCCCCACCTTGCTCCCCACCTTGCTCCCCACCTTGCTCCCCACCTTGCTCCCCACCTTGCTCCCCACCTTGCTCCCCACCTTGCTCCCCACCTTGCTCCCCACCTTGCTCCCCACCTTGCTCCCCACCTTGCTCCCCACCTTGCTCCCCACCTTGCTCCCCACCTTGCTCCCCACCTTGCTCCCCACCTTGCTCCCCACCTTGCTCCCCACCTTGCTCCCCACCTTGCTCCCCACCTTGCTCCCCACCTTGCTCCCCACCTTGCTCCCCACCTTGCTCCCCACCTTGCTCCCCACCTTGCTCCCCACCTTGCTCCCCACCTTGCTCCCCACCTTGCTCCCCACCTTGCTCCCCACCTTGCTCCCCACCTTGCTCCCACCTTGCTCCCCACCTTGCTCCCCACCTTGCTCCCCACCTTGCTCCCCACCTTGCTCCCCACCTTGCTCCCCACCTTGCTCCCCACCTTGCTCCCCACCTTGCTCCCCACCTTGCTCCCCACCTTGCTCCCCACCTTGCTCCCCACCTTGCTCCCCACCTTGCTCCCCACCTTGCTCCCCACCTTGCTCCCCACCTTGCTCCCCACCTTGCTCCCCACCTTGCTCCCCACCTTGCTCACCCACCTTGCTCCCCACCTTGCTCCCCACCTTGCTCCCCACCTTGCTCCCCACCTTGCTCCCCACCTTGCTCCCCACCTTGCTCCCCACCTTGCTCCCCACCTTGCTCCCCACCTTGCTCCCCACCTTGCTCCCCACCTTGCCTCCCCACCTTGCTCCCCACCTTGCTCCCCACCTTGCTCCCCACCTTGCTCCCCACCTTGCTCCCCACCTTGCTCCCCACCTTGCTCCCCACCTTGCTCCCCACCTTGCTCCCCACCTTGCTCCCCACCTTGCTCCCCACCTTGCTCCCCACCTTGCTCCCCACCTTGCTCCCACCTTGCTCCCCACCTTGCTCCCCCACCTTGCTCCCCACCTTGCTCCCCACCCTTGCTCCCCACCTTGCTCCCCACCTTGCTCCCCACCTTGCTCCCCACCTTGCTCCCCACTTGCTCCCCACCTTGCTCCCCACCTTGCTCCCCACCTTGCTCCCCACCTTGCCTCCCCACCTTGCTCCCCACCTTGCTCCCCACCTTGCTCCCCACCTTGCTCCCCACCTTGCTCCCCACCTTGCTCCCCACCTTGCTCCCCACCTTGCTCCCCACCTTGCTCCCCACCTTGCTCCCCACCTTGCTCCCCACCTTGCTCCCCACCTTGCTCCCCACCTTGCTCCCCACCTCCCCACCTTTCCCCACCTTGCTCCCCACCTTGCTCCCCACCTTGCTCCCCACCTTGCTCCCCACCTTGCTCCCCACCTTGCTCCCCACCTTGCTCCCCACCTTGCTCCCCACCTTGCTCCCCACCTTGCTCCCCACCTTGCTCCCCACCTTGCTCCCCACCTTGCTCCCCACCTTGCTCCCCACCTTGCTCCCCACCTTGCTCCCCACCTTGCTCCCCACCTTGCTCCCCACCTTGCTCCCCACCTTGCTCCCCACCTTGCTCCCCACCTTGCTCCCCACCTTGCTCCCCACCCTTGCTCCCCACCTTGCTCCCCACCTTGCTCCCCACCTTGCTCCCCACCTTGCTCCCCACCTTGCTCCCCACCTTGCTCCCCACCTTGCTCCCCACCTTGCTCCCCACCTTGCTCCCCACCTTGCTCCCCACCTTGCTCCCCACCTTGCTCCCCACCTTGCTCCCCACCTTGCTCCCCACCTTGCTCCCCACCTTGCTCCCCACCTTGCTCCCCACCTTGCTCCCCACCTTGCTCCCCACCTTGCTCCCCACCTTGCTCCCCACCTTGCTCCCCACCTTGCTCCCCACCTTGCTCCCCACCTTGCTCCCCACCTTGCTCCCCCACCTTGCTCCCCACCTTGCTCCCCACCTTGCTCCCCACCTTGCTCCCCACCTTGCTCCCCACCTTGCTCCCCACCTTGCTCCCCACCTTGCTCCCCACCTTGCTCCCCACCTTGCTCCCCACCTTGCTCCCCACCTTGCTCCCCACCTTGCTCCCCACCTTGCTCCCCACCTTGCTCCCCACCTTGCTCCCCACCTTGCTCCCCCCACCTTGCTCCCCACCTTGCTCCCCACCTTGCTCCCCACCTTGCTCCCCACCTTGCTCCCCACCTTGCTCCCCACCTTGCTCCCCACCTTGCTCCCCACCTTGCTCCCCACCTTGCTCCCCACCTTGCTCCCCACCTTGCTCCCCACCTTGCTCCCCACCTTGCTCCCCACCTTGCTCCCCACCTTGCTCCCCACCTTGCTCCCCACCTTGCTCCCCACCTTGCTCCCCACCTTGCTCCCCACCTTGCTCCCCACCTTGCTCCCCACCTTGCTCCCCACCTTGCTCCCCACCTTGCTCCCCACCTTGCTCCCCACCTTGCTCCCCACCTTGCTCCCCACCTTGCTCCCCACCTTGCTCCCCACCTTGCTCCCCACCTTGCTCCCCACCTTGCTCCCCACCTTGCTCCCCACCTTGCTCCCCACCTTGCTCCCCACCTTGCTCCCCACCTTGCTCCCCACCTTGCTCCCCACCTTGCTCCCCACCTTGCTCCCCACCTTGCTCCCCACCTTGCTCCCCACCTTGCTCCCCACCTTGCTCCCCACCTTGCTCCCCACCTTGCTCCCCACCTTGCTCCCCACCTTGCTCCCCACCTTGCTCCCCACCTTGCTCCCCACCTTGCTCCCCACCTTGCTCCCCACCTTGCTCCCCACCTTGCTCCCCACCTTGCTCCCCACCTTGCTCCCCACCTTGCTCCCCACCTTGCTCCCCACCTTGCTCCCCACCTTGCTCCCCACCTTGCTCCCCACCTTGCTCCCCACCTTGCTCCCCACCTTGCTCCCCACCTTGCTCCCCACCTTGCTCCCCACCTTGCTCCCCACCTTGCTCCCCACCTTGCTCCCCACCTTGCTCCCCACCTTGCTCCCCACCTTGCTCCCCACCTTGCTCCCCACCTTGCTCCCCACCTTGCTCCCCACCTTGCTCCCCACCTTGCTCCCCACCTTGCTCCCCACCTTGCTCCCCACCTTGCTCCCCACCTTGCTCCCCACCTTGCTCCCCACCTTGCTCCCCACCTTGCTCCCCACCTTGCTCCCCACCTTGCTCCCCACCTTGCTCCCCACCTTGCTCCCCACCTTGCTCCCCACCTTGCTCCCCACCTTGCTCCCCACCTTGCTCCCACCTTGCTCCCCACCTTGCTCCCCACCTTGCTCCCACCTTGCTCCCCACCTTGCTCCCCACCTTGCTCCCCACCTTGCTCCCCATACCTTGCTCCCCACCTTGCTCCCCGACCTTGCTCCCCACCTTGCTCCCCACCTTGCTCCCCACCTTGCTCCCATCCTTGCTCCACCACCTTGCTCCCCACCTTGCTCCCCACCTTGCTCCCCACCTTGCTCCCACCTTGCTCCCCACCTTGCTCCCACCTTGCTCCCCACCTTGCTCCCCCCTTGCTCCCCACCTTGCTCCCACCTTGCTCCCCACCTTGCTCCCCACCTTGCTCCCCACCTTGCTCCCCACCTTGCTCCCCACCTTGCTCCCCACCTTGCTCCCCACCTTGCTCCCCACCTTGCTCCCCACCTTGCTCCCCACCGTTGCCCCACCTTGCTCCCCACCTTGCTCCCCACCTTGCTCCCCACCTTGCTCCCCACCTTGCTCCCACCTTGCTCCCACCTTGCTCCCCACCTTGCTCCCCACCTGGCTCCCCACCTTGCTCCCCACCCTTGCTCCCCACCTTGCTCCCCACCTTGCTCCCCACCTTGCTCCCCACCTTGCTCCCCACCTTGCTCCCCACCTTGCTCCCCACCTTGCTCCCCACCTTGCTCCCCACCTTGCTCCCCACCTTGCTCCCCACCTTGCTCCCCACCTTGCTCCCCACCTTGCTCCCCACCTTGCTCCCCACCTTGCTCCCCACCTTGCTCCCCACCTTGCTCCCCACCTTGCTCCCCACCTTGCTCCCCACCTGCTCCCCACCTTGCTCCCCACCTTGCTCCCCACCTTGCTCCCCACCTTGCTCCCCCACCTTGCTCCCCACCTTGCTCCCCCACCTTGCTCCCCACCTTGCTCCCCACCTTGCTCCCCACCTTGCTCCCCACCTTGCTCCCCACCTTGCTCCCCACCTTGCTCCCCACCTTGCTCCCCACCTTGCTCCCCACCTTGCTCCCCACCTTGCTCCCCACCTTGCTCCCCACCTTGCTCCCCACCTTGCTCCCCACCTTGCTCCCCACCTTGCTCCCCACCTTGCTCCCCACCTTGCTCCCCACCTTGCTCCCCACCTTGCTCCCCACCTTGCTCCCCACCTTGCTCCCCACCTTGCTCCCCACCTTGCTCCCCACCTTGCTCCCCACCTTGCTCCCCACCTTGCTCCCCACCTTGCTCCCCACCTTGCTCCCCACCTTGCTCCCCACCTTGCTCCCCACCTTGCTCCCCACCTTGCTCCCCACCTTGCTCCCCACCTTGCTCCCCACCTTGCTCCCCACCTTGCTCCCCACCTTGCTCCCCACCTTGCTCCCCACCTTGCTCCCCACCTTGCTCCCCACCTTGCTCCCCACCTTGCTCCCCACCTTGCTCCCCACCTTGCTCCCCACCTTGCTCCCCACCTTGCTCCCCACCTTGCTCCCCACCTTGCTCCCCACCTTGCTCCCCACCTTGCTCCCCACCTTGCTCCCCACCTTGCTCCCCACCTTGCTCCCCACCTTGCTCCCCACCTTGCTCCCCACCTTGCTCCCCACCTTGCTCCCCACCTTGCTCCCCACCTTGCTCCCCACCTTGCTCCCCACCTTGCTCCCCACCTTGCTCCCCACCTTGCTCCCCACCTTGCTCCCCACCTTGCTCCCCACCTTGCTCCCCACCTTGCTCCCCACCTTGCTCCCCACCTTGCTCCCCCACCTTGCTCCCCACCTTGCTCCCCACCTTGCTCCCCACCTTGCTCCCCACCTTGCTCCCCACCTTGCTCCCCACCTTGCTCCCCACCTTGCTCCCCACCTTGCTCCCCACCTTGCTCCCCACCTTGCTCCCCACCTTGCTCCCCACCTTGCTCCCCACCTTGCTCCCCACCTTGCTCCCCACCTTGCTCCCCACCTTGCTCCCCACCTTGCTCCCCACCTTGCTCCCCACCTTGCTCCCCACCTTGCTCCCCACCTTGCTCCCCACCTTGCTCCCCACCTTGCTCCCCACCTTGCTCCCCACCTTGCTCCCCACCTTGCTCCCCACCTTGCTCCCCACCTTGCTCCCCACCTTGCTCCCCACCTTGCTCCCACCTTGCTCCCCACCTTGCTCCCCACCTTGCTCCCCACCTTGCTCCCCACCTTGCTCCCCACCTTGCTCCCCACCTTGCTCCCCACCTTGCTCCCCACCTTGCTCCCCACCTTGCTCCCCACCTTGCTCCCCACCTTGCTCCCCACCTTGCTCCCCACCTTGCTCCCCACCTTGCTCCCCACCTTGCTCCCCACCTTGCTCCCCACCTTGCTCCCGCACATTGCTCCCCACCTTGCTCCCCCACCTTGCTCCCCACCTTGCTCCCCACCTTGCTCCCACCTTGCTCCCCACCTTGCTCCCCACCTTGCTCCCCACCTTGCTCCCCACCTTGCTCCCCACCTTGCTCCCCACCTTGCTCCCCACCTTGCTCCCCACCTTGCTCCCCCACCTTGCTCCCCACCTTGCTCCCCACCTTGCTCCCCACCTTGCTCCCCACCTTGCTCCCCACCTTGCTCCCACACCTTGCTCCCCACCTTGCTCCCCACCTTGCTCCCCACCTTGCTCCCCACCTTGCTCCCACCTTGCTCCCCACCTTGCTTCCCCACCTTGCTCCCCACCTTGCTCCCCACCTTGCTCCCCACCTTGCTCCCCACCTTGCTCCCCACCTTGCTCCCCACCTTGCTCCCCACCTTGCTCCCCACCTTGCTCCCCACCTTGCTCCCCACCTTGCTCCCCACCTTGCTCCCCACCTTGCTCCCCACCTTGCTCCCCACCTTGCTCCCCACCTTGCTCCCCACCTTGCTCCCCACCTTGCTCCCCACCTTGCTCCCCACCTTGCTCCCCACCTTGCTCCCCACCTTGCTCCCCACCTTGCTCCCCACCTTGCTCCCCACCTTGCTCCCCACCTTGCTCCCCACCTTGCTCCCCACCTTGCTCCCCACCTTGCTCCCCACCTTGCTCCCCACCTTGCTCCCCACCTTGCTCCCCACCTTGCTCCCCACCTTGCTCCCCACCTTGCTCCCCACCTTGCTCCCCACCTTGCTCCCCACCTTGCTCCCCACCTTGCTCCCCACCTTGCTCCCCACCTTGCTCCCCACCTTGCTCCCCACCTTGCTCCCCACCTTGCTCCCCACCTTGCTCCCCACCTTGCTCCCCACCTTGCTCCCCACCTTGCTCCCCACCTTGCTCCCCACCTTGCTCCCCACCTTGCTCCCCACCTTGCTCCCCCCTTGCTCCCCACCTTGCTCCCCACCTTGCTCCCCACCTTGCTCCCCACCTTGCTCCCCACCTTGCTCCCCACCTTGCTCCCCACCTTGCTCCCCACCTTGCTCCCCACCTTGCTCCCCACCTTGCTCCCCACCTTGCTCCCCACCTTGCTCCCACCTTGCTCCCACCTTGCTCCCCACCTTGCTCCCCACCTTGCTCCCCACCTTGCTCCCCACCTTGCTCCCCACCTTGCTCCCCACCTTGCTCCCACCTTGCTCCCCACCTTTGCTCCCCACCTTGCTCCCCACCTTGCTCCCCACTTTGCTCCCCACCTTGCTCCCACCTTGCTCCCCACCTTGCTCCCCCCCCTTGCTCCCACCAATTGCTCCCACCTTGCTCCCCACCTTGCTCCCCACCTTGCTCCCCACCTTGCTCCCCACCTTGCTCCCCACCTTGCTCCCCACCTTGCTCCCCACCTTGCTCCCCACCTTGCTCCCCACCTTGCTCCCCACCTTGCTCCCCACCTTGCTCCCCACCTTGCTCCCCACCTTGCTCCCCACCTTGCTCCCCACCTTGCTCCCCACCTTGCTCCCCACCTTGCTCCCCACCTTGCTCCCCACCTTGCTCCCCACCTTGCTCCCCACCTTGCTCCCCACCTTGCTCCCCACCTTGCTCCCCACCTTGCTCCCCACCTTGCTCCCCACCTTGCTCCCCACCTTGCTCCCCACCTTGCTCCCCACCTTGCTCCCCACCTTGCTCCCCACCTTGCTCCCCACCTTGCTCCCCACCTTGCTCCCCACCTTGCTCCCACCTTGCTCCCCACCTTGCTCCCACCTTGCTCCCCACCTTGCTCCCCACCTTGCTCCCCACCTTGCTCCCCACCTTGCTCCCCACCTTGCTCCCCACCTTGCTCCCCACCTTGCTCCCCACCTTGCTCCCCACCTTGCTCCCCACCTTGCTCCCCACCTTGCTCCCCACCTTGCTCCCCACCTTGCTCCCCACCTTGCTCCCCACCTTGCTCCCCACCTTGCTCCCCACCTTGCTCCCCACCTTGCTCCCCACCTTGCTCCCCACCTTGCTCCCCACCTTGCTCCCCACCTTGCTCCCCACCTTGCTCCCCACCTTGCTCCCCACCTTGCTCCCACCTTGCTCCCCACCTTGCTCCCCACCTTGCTCCCCACCTTGCTCCCCACCTTGCTCCCCACCTTGCTCCCCACCTTGCTCCCCACCTTGCTCCCCACCTTGCTCCCCACCTTGCTCCCCACCTTGCTCCCCACCTTGCTCCCCACCTTGCTCCCCACCTTGCTCCCCACCTTGCTCCCCACCTTGCTCCCCACCTTGCTCCCCACCTTGCTCCCCACCTTGCTTCCCCACCTTGCTCCCCACCTTGCTCCCCACCTTGCTCCCCACCTTGCTCCCCACCTGCTCCCCACCTTGCTCCCCACCTTGCTCCCCACCTTGCTCCCCACCTTGCTCCCCACCTTGCTCCCCACCTTGCTCCCCACCTTGCTCCCCACCTTGCTCCCCACCTTGCTCCCCACCTTGCTCCCCACCTTGCTCCCCACCTTGCTCCCCACCTTGCTCCCCACCTTGCTCCCCACCTTGCTCCCCACCTTGCTCCCCACCTTGCTCCCCACCTTGCTCCCCACCTTGCTCCCCACCTTGCTCCCCACCTTGCTCCCCACCTTGCTCCCCACCTTGCTCCCCACCTTGCTCCCCACCTTGCTCCCCACCTTGCTCCCCACCTTGCTCCCCACCTTGCTCCCCACCTTGCTCCCCACCTTGCTCCCACCTTGCTCCCCACCTTGCTCCCCACCTTGCTCCCCACCTTGCTCCCCACCTTGCTCCCCACCTTGCTCCCCACCTTGCTCCCCACCTTGCTCCCCACCTTGCTCCCCACCTTGCTCCCCACCTTGCTCCCCACCTTGCTCCCCACCTTGCTCCCCACCTTGCTCCCCACCTTGCTCCCCACCTTGCTCCCCACCTTGCTCCCCACCTTGCTCCCACCTTGCTCCCCACCTTGCTCCCCACCTTGCTCCCCACCTTGCTCCCCACCTTGCTCCCCACCTTGCTCCCCACCTTGCTCCCCACCTTGCTCCCCACCTTGCTCCCCACCTTGCTCCCACCTTGCTCCCCACCTTGCTCCCCACCTTGCTCCCCACCTTGCTCCCCACCTTGCTCCCCACCTTGCTCCCCACCTTGCTCCCCACCTTGCTCCCCACCTTGCTCCCCACCTTGCTCCCACCTTGCTCCCCACCTTGCTCCCCACCTTGCTCCCCACCTCCCCACCTCGCCCCCCTCTTCCTCTGTGTGCCCCTCCATGGAAGCTGCCAGCGCCAGGGGCTGCTCCTCCTCGTCCTCCTCGCAGCTCCCCACTGCCCCCACACCCGCTCCCACCTCCACTCTGTGGGCACGTCACGCAGCTTCTTGGGGGGAAGCACCTCCCCATCTGCACCAAGTGCGCCTCCCACGGGGTCACGGTCGATGAATGGCATCAGGTCCTGGGTGGTCGTGCACACGCACACGCACACACATACTGTCAACGCATGCGCGCACGCAGGCATGCACACAGGCAGGCACGCACGGAGGCAGAAAGACATGCACACAGATCAAACGCAGGCAGACATGCAGTCAGGCAAAGTGCAGACCAGGGTTCCACAAGACATGTGAGGAGGAATCTGAGGGAGAATATGAGGAGCAGACAAGTGGTGCGTGTGAGTGCCGCGGAAGGGGACACGGGGAAGCAGGGAAAGGGACATGTGGAAGCAGGGAAGGGGATGGAGGGAAGCAGGGAAGAGGATGGGGGGGAGCAGGGAGGAGGATGGGGGGAAGCTTGTAAAGGGACATGGGGAAGCAGGGAAGGGGATGGGGGGAGGAAGGGAAGGGGACATGGGGAAGCAGGGAAGGGGACATGGGGAAGCAGGGAAGGGGATGGGGGGAGGAAGGGAAGACACATGGGAAAGCAGGGAAGGGGATGGGGGGAGGAAGGGAAAGGGACACGGGGAAGAAGGGAAGGGGATGGGGGGAAGCAGGGAAAGGGACATGGGGAAGCAGGGAAGGGGATGGGGGGAAGCAGGGAAAGGGACACGGGGAAGCAGGGAAGGGGATGGGGGGAAGCAGGGAAGGGGACACGGGGAAGCAGGGAAGGGGATGGGGGGAAGCAGGGAAAGGGACACGGGGAAGCAGGGAAGGGGATGGGGGGAGGATGGGAAGGGGACATGGGGAAGCAGGGAAGGGGATGGGGGGAGGAAGGGAAGGGGATGGGGGGAGGAAGGGAAGACACATGGGAAAGCAGGGAAGGGGATGGGGGGAGGAAGGGAAAGGGACAAGTGGAAGAAGGGAAGGGGATGGGGGGAAGCAGGGAAAGGGACATGGGGAAGCAGGGAAGGGGATGGGGGGAAGCAGGGAAAGGGACACGGGGAAGCAGGGAAGGGGATGGGGGGAGGAAGGGAAGGGGATGGGGGGAAGCAGGGAAAGGGACACGGGGAAGCAGGGAAGGGGATGGGGGGAAGCAGGGAAGGGGATGGGGGGAGGAAGGGAAGGGGATGGGGGGAGGAAGGGAAAGGGACACGGGGAAGCAGGGAAGGGGATGGGGGGAAGCAGGGAAGGGGACATGGGGAAGCAGGGAAGGGGACATGGGGAAGCAGGGAAGGGGATGGGGGAACATAAAGGAAGGGGATGGGGGGAAGAAGGGAAGGGGATGGGGGGACGGCAGGGAAGGGGATGGGGGGAGGATGGGAAGGGGACATGGGGAAGCAGGGAAGGGGATGGGGGGAGGAAGGGAAGGGGATGGGGGGAAGCAGGGAAAGGGACACGGGGAAGCAGGGAAGGGGACATGGGGAAGCAGGGAAGGGGACATGGGGAAGCAGGGAAGGGGATGGGGGAACATGAGGGAAGGGGATGGGGGGAAGAAGGGAAGGGGATGGGGGGAAGCAGGGAAGGGGATGGGGGGAAGCAGGGAAGGGGATGGGGGGACGGCAGGGAAGGGGATGGGGGGAGGATGGGAAGGGGACATGGGGAAGCAGGGAAGGGGATGGGGGGAGGAAGGGAAGGGGATGGGGGGAAGCAGGGAAAGGGACACGGGGAAGCAGGGAAGGGGACATGGGGAAGCAGGGAAGGGGACATGGGGAAGCAGGGAAGGGGATGGGGGAACATGAGGGAAGGGGATGGGGGGAAGAAGGGAAGGGGATGGGGGGAAGCAGGGAAGGGGATGGGGGGAAGCAGGGAAGGGGATGGGGGGAAGCAGGGGAGGGGACATGGGGAAGCAGGGAAGGGGATGGGGGAACATAAGGGAAGGGGATGGGCGGAAGAAGGGAAGGGGATGGGGGGAAGCAGGGAAAGGGACACGGGGAAGCAGGGAAGGGGATGGGGGAACATAAGGGAAGGGGATGGGCGGAAGAAGGGAAGGAGATGGGGGGAAGCAGGGAAGGGGATGGGGGGAAGCAGGGAAGGGGATGGGGGGAAGCAGGGAAGGGGATGGGGGGAAGCAGGGAAGGGGATGGGGGGAAGCAGGGAAGGGGACATGGGGAAGCAGGGAAGGGGATGGGGGAACATAAGGGAAGGGGATGGGCGGAAGAAGGGAAGGGGATGGGGGGAAGCAGGGAAAGGGACACGGGGAAGCAGGGAAGGGGATGGGGGAACATAAGGGAAGGGGATGGGCGGAAGAAGGGAAGGAGATGGGGGGAAGCAGGGAAGGGGATGGGGGGAAGCAGGGAAGGGGATGGGGGGAAGCAGGGAAGGGGATGGGGGGAAGCAGGGAAGGGGATGGGGGGAAGCAGGGAAGGGGACATGGGGAAGCAGGGAAGGGGATGGGGGAACATGAGGGAAGGGGATGGGGGGAAGAAGGGAAGGGGATGGGGGGAAGCAGGGAAAGGGACACGGGGAAGCAGGGAAGGGGATGGGGGGAAGCAGGGGAGGGGACATGGGGAAGCAGGGAAGGGGACATGGGGAAGCAGGGAAGGGGATGGGGGAACATAAGGGAAGGGGATGGGCGGAAGAAGGGAAGGAGATGGGGGGAAGCAGGGAAAGGGACACGGGGAAGCAGGGAAGGGGATGGGGGGAAGCAGGGAAGGGGATGGGGGGAAGCAGGGAAGGGGATGGGGGGAAGCAGGGAAGGGGACATGGGGAAGCAGGGAAGGGGACATGGGGAAGCAGGGAAGGGGATGGGGGAACATGAGGGAAGGGGATGGGGGAAAGAAGGGAAGGGGATGGGGGGAAGCAGGGAAAGGGACACGGGGAAGCAGGGAAGGGGATGGGAGGAAGCAGGGAAGGGGATGGGGGGAAGCAGGGAAGGGGATGGGGGGAAGCAGGGGAGGGGACATGGGGAAGCAGACGGGGATGGGGGGAATAAAAGGGAAGGGGATGGGAGGAAGAAGGGAAGGAGATGGAGGGAAGCAGGGAAGGGGATGGGGGGAAGCAGGGAAGGGGATGGGGGGAAGCAGGGAAAGGGACACGGGGAAGCAGGGAAGGGGATGGGGGGAAGCAGGGAAGGGGATGGGGGGAAGCAGGGAAGGGGATGGGGGGAAGCAGGGAAAGGGACACGGGGAAGCAGGGAAGGGGATGGGAGGAAGCAGGGAAGGGGATGGGGGGAAGCAGGGAAGGGGATGGGGGGAAGCAGGGGAGGGGACATGGGGAAGCAGACGGGGATGGGGGGAATAAAAGGGAAGGGGATGGGAGGAAGAAGGGAAGGAGATGGAGGGAAGCAGGGAAGGGGATGGGGGGAAGCAGGGAAGGGGATGGGGGGAAGCAGGGAAAGGGACACGGGGAAGCAGGGAAGGGGATGGGGGGAAGCAGGGAAGGGGATGGGGGGAAGCAGGGAAGGGGATGGGGGGAAGCAGGGAAAGGGACACGGGGAAGCAGGGAAGGGGATGGGGGGAAGCAGGGAAGGGGATGGGGGGAAGCAGGGAAGGGGATGGGGGGAAGCAGGGGAGGGGACATGGGGAAGCAGGGAAGGGGACATGGGGAAGCAGGGAAGGGGATGGGGGAACATAAGGGAAGGGGATGGGGGGAAGCAGGGAAAGGGACACGGGGAAGCAGGGAAGGGGATGGGGGGAAGCAGGGAAAGGGACACGGGGAAGCAGGGAAGGGGATGGGGGGAGGAAGGGAAGGGGACATGGGAAAGCAAGGAAGGGAACACGGGGAAGCAGGGAAGGGGACATGGGGAAATTGACACGGGGATGGGGGGAATATAAGGGAAGGGGGTGGGAGGAAGAAGGGAAGGAGATGGGGGGAAGCAGGGAAAGGGACACAGGGAATCAGGGAAGGGGATTGGGGGAGGAAGGCCAAAGGTGGTGTGGGGAAGGAGAGAGGTAAGCGGTGTGGTGGTGAAAGGCGATCATTAGGGGAAGGGCCACCGTGTGTGTTGGTTGGAAAGGGGGCGTGACTGGCCCAAATGAGGTGGGAAGGGAGATGGGAGGGATGGCGACAGTGACGGAGGTGCCAGGGCGACGAGGGGAGAGAGATACGGGGATTGCGAGGGGTCGAGCGGGAGGGAGGGCGATGAGCAGCGGGGACCCTAGACGAGACAAAGGGGGGCAACGGGCGGAAGGGAGCGCGACGAGGGGAAGGTAGGGCGGCGGGTGGTCGGGAGGGCAATGGGAGGAAGGGAGGGCGACGAGACGAAGGGAGGGTGACGGGCGGAAGGGATGGCGACGGCGGAAGGGAGGGCGACGGGCGGAAGGGAGGGCGACGGGCGGAAGGCATGGCGACGGGCGACGGGCGGAATCTATGGCGACGGCGGAAGGGAGGGCGACGGGCGGAAGGGAGGGCGACGGGCGGAAGGGAAGGTGACGGGCGACGGGCGGAAGGGATGGCGACGGCGGAAGTGAGTGCGACGGGCGGAAGGGAAGGTGACGGGCGGAAGGGAGGCCGTCGGCGGAAGTGAGTGCGACGTGCGCTAGGGAGAGCGACGGGCAGTAGGGCGACGGCGGGAGGGAGTTTGATGGGCGTAAGAGAGTGCGACGTGCGGAAGGGAGTGCAGGCGCGCGGAAGGGAGTGCGACGGGCGGAAGCGGGTGCGTGGAACGTACATGTGAGTCGAGCGCCCGATCGGCAGCGCTTGATCCGTGCGCTTCGAACGTACTTGCGAGCGCCATCGTCCCTGTAGAATTGGGGCGTGACATGACGTTTTTCTTTAGGCTGGCTAATATTATTTTTGTTGGAGCGAAAAACCAACAGACTGCTGCAAGGATATAGACATCTCGCTGCCATTGTCTGTAAGCGATACTACGCGCTCTTGTGGTCCTGAACAGCGGAGCGCACTACGTGTTCTAGACTCAATATGGCTGCACATAAGTACAACTTGGTTTTCAAGTTTACTGAATGTGAACAGTGGTCCAACTCCCGTTGACACTTCACGCGGAATCCTTTTTTTGTCGCTGGCCAATCATGCATCAGAATTGTGAAGCATCTCATCCGTGAGGGGACGGAAAGCTGCACTTCGGGTGGTAACCTGGTTTTTGGCGAGTTCATATTCAAGAATCTTGATTTTGAAAAATGCCATGTGGAACTCGGGTTTTAAGGTAAAGGTTAAAGGTTATAGGAGAAACCCCCTTTGGTATTACCCCGGTTGTCGATCTTAATCCGCTTACCCACATGTTTACAAGCCTCGTTGGGTATAGATGTAAGGAATATCCACTCCCAGATGAGCATGTGCAGCCACCTTCTGGAAGGCTGGCAGAACTCGCAGGCACGGGGGTATTGATGCCGGGACCTCATCTTTTGGAAGTGCCCATCTACTTAACTGGTCCGCTTCAAATGATCTACACCAATGAGGAATTCAACAAGGGAAAATATGCCACTGTTAATAAACAAGGGCAAAGATAAAATTTGTGGTAAAAAAAACCCGTATACGGTCACTGAAAATAGTGTTTTCACTTGTTGGATATGTCATTTCACGTGATCAGTCACTATTAGCTGGCGAAATTTCACGCAATTAGTCAGACATGAAACTCTCGAGAAAAAAAAAAAAAAACAAAACAAAAAACAAAACAAAACAAAACATGATATTTTGCAATTTCCCCGCTCGCGCTAAACCGGGTTACAAGTTTAGAAGAAGAAAAAAAACTACAACCCAATCGGAACTGGATACGATTTGGGGATGGATCAAACCCAAACACCATCCAGGTTACGTATTTCGGGTTGGTCCGCTCGAAAACATTTTTTTTTTTTTTTTTTTTTTTTTGCGGGAGTTTCATTTGTTACCAGTTAATACTTGTCAAACTTCTATGATGCTTATTGTGTAGGCTATAGTGTCAGAATAGTGGCATAAGTAAGTAGTTGGGTTTAAGTGGGCCTAGGCTTAGTAGCCTAGGCCAAGGGAGTCGAGCTAGTTTGTGCCAAGGAGAGAGGGTCGAGAAATGAGAGGGGAATGATGTTCACTATAGCACTAGGGTACATATAGCAAACAAAGAGGTGCACCACCTATAAAGTTAATATCTACACTACAGCTAGAACTACATGCAGGTATAAGAATACAATTCTGACATATAGTGGGGTAGCCCATATGGGGTACTGTCAAACATTATATATGTTGTGTTAGTTTAGGCTACAGTGGGTTAGCCTATAGGGGGTACACAATTCTAGGGTTAGGTACTTGTACTCTTTTCATTGCTAGTTCATTCATTCCTGTTCAGTGATTCCAACATGGTATAGAGCAGGTCCTTCCTAGGACCGAAATTTTCTAAGGGCCCACCACTACGTACCTACCTACCCGTGCCCTAGGGCGCCTCGGCGTGTCACGCCCCTAGAGGCCCCTCTTGACGGCCCCGCGCTAGCCCCGTTCAGGCCCCGTCGGCCCCTTTAAGGCCCCGTTCAGGCCCCGCGCTAGCCCCGTTTAGGCCCCGTCGGCCCCGTTTCAGGCCCCGTCGGCCCCACGCTAGCCCCTCTCAGGCCCCGTCGACCCGCGCTAGCCCCGTTTCAGGCCCCGTCGGCCCCTTTTCAGGCCCCGTCGGCCCCGCGCTAGCCCCTCTCAGGCCCCGTCGGCCCGCGCTAGCCCCGTTTCAGGCCCCGTCGGCCCCGTTTCAGGCCCCGTCGGCCCCGCGCTAGCCCCTCTCAGGCCCCGTCGGCCCGCGCTAGCCCCGTTTCAGGCCCCGTCGGCCCGCGCTAGCCCCGTTTCAGGCCCCGTAGGCCCCGCGCTAGCCCCTCTCAGGCCCCGTCGGCCCCGCGCTAGCCCCTCTCAGGCCCCGTCGGCCCCGCGCTAGCCCCATTCAGGCCCCGATCGGGCCCGCGCTAGCCCCGTTTCAGGCCCCTTCGGCCCCGTTTCAGGCCCCGTCGGCCCCGCGCTAGCCCCGTTCAGGCCCCGTCGGCCCCTTGCTAGCCCCGTCAAGGCCCCGTTTGGCCCCGCGCTAGCCCCGCTCAGGCCCCGATCGGCCCCGCGCTCGCCCCTCTAGGGCCCCAACCGGCCCCGTGCCTACCTCGCCGACCCGTGCCCACCACCCAGAGGCCCCGGGCGGCCCGTTCCCGCCGCAGCACAAGAGGGAGAGCGGGCGGCCCGTCCCCGCCGTGACCTGAGCCGAGCCGCGACCCGATCTGAACCGAGCCGCGCCGCCCTGCCCTACCTGGTTCGTCCTACCTGCTTCTCCTACCGCTACTGCTGCTATTTCTACTGTTCCTATGGCTAGCCCACAGGTTCTCGTGTTCGATGCTGAGGGCCGCCCTGTGAAGTTTGACACCTGGCTCGATGACCTGCACCTCTACCTACAGCTCACAGCCAAGGATGACATCTCACTGTACGATCACGCCCTAGGCCTTGTCACTGCCCCTGCTGCTACTGCTGACAGCACTGCTCGCTCACAGTGGCAGACTCGTGATGCCCACGCTCGCTTCGCCATTCGCAACTCCCTGCCGATAGACGAACGCGAGCACTTTGGTCAGCACAAGACTGCACCGGCACTGTACACAGCTGTAGTTGCTCGCTACTCCTCACCTGCCTCTGCCGCACTAGGCCGTCTCTCCCTCCCCTACCTGTTTCCCGACCTGGCCTCCTTTCACACAGTCGCTGACCTCATCACGCACCTCCGTACTAGTGAGGCCCGCTTCCGTGCCGCCATGCCTGCTGAGTTCCTTGCCACGCACCCCCCTCCACTCTGGCTCACTCTCTATCACCTAGTCACCCGCCTCCCTGACACGCTGCGTGCTGTCAGGGACCACTTCCTAGCTCGTTGCCCCACTGAGCTCACCATTGCCCTCCTCGAGAAGGAGCTACTTGCAGCTGAGGCTAGCATAGTCGCTGTAGGTGCCTCTCGTGGCGACCCCCGTACCCCGTTCTTTGAGGGGTGTTCTCCTTCCCCCCTTCTTCCCTCTGTCGCCTCTGCTGCTGCTGTCGACCTTCTTGGTACTGAGAAGGTCGGCGCTGCGTCTGCCTCGAGCGGACGCCGCAGCGGCAAGGGCAAAGGGGGCAAGGGTAGTGGCGGTGACGGCGGGGGAGGCGGCGGTGGGGGCGGTGGAGGCAGTGGGGGTGGTGGCTCGGCTGGAGGGGCGAGTGGTAGCGGTGGGGGTGGTGGCGGCAGCGGCGGGGGAGGTGGCAGGAGTGGAGGCGGCGGTTGGGGTGGCGGTGGACGAGGCGGCGGCAGGGGTTGGGGTGGTCGAGGAGGTGGCAGCGGTGGTGGTGGCCGTGGAGGCGCTGGCGGTGGCCAGGGCCAGCAGCACACTCTCTCGCCCCAGGAGGTCCGTGAGTGGTACTCTCAGCACGGGGGTGGGGGTGGTCTTAGCTGCACGTACGTCATTCGCACTGGTGACCGCACTGGTCAGCAGTGTGGACGACCGCACGCCACACAGCGCTGCTTCTCTCGTCTCGACGACGCTTGGCGTGTTCAGTTCCCTCAGGCCACTGAGCTGCCCCGCTGGCTTGATCTCCTGAAGAAGGGGATTGATATCTATGCTCTAGACTTTGATGCTATTCTATCTGCCATGTATGTGATGTCTACTAGTGGAGAGGGTGCTGAGTACTTGTGTGTGCCGCCCGACCCGGGCATTAGGGCCAGTGCGTCTGCCGCTCCAGGTACTCACGTGTCGGCTACCCCAGGTGCTGGTGAGGCTGCTGCTCTAGGTGCTCGTGTGTCCCCCCCCCTTGGTACTGCGTCGACTGCCGCACTGCACACCTTCACACTGGACTCAGGTGCTTCTCGCTGCTTCTTTCGTGACCGCACTGCCCTTGAGCCGCTTGCTCGGCCAGTTGCTGTCTCCCTTGCTGACCCCTCTGGGGGTCCGGTCATTGCGACCTCTTCCACTGTCCTTCCCTGCCCTGCGGTCCCGTCGGGCACACTGTCAGGTCTCCACCTCCCCTCGTTCTCTACGAACTTGGTGGCAGGCTGTGCACTCCAGGACGGGGGTGTTCACCAGTTCACCCCTGCCTACGAGCGCGTGACACACTGCACGTGTGCTCGTACGGGCCGTCACTTGGCTACCTTCACTCGGCAGCCGGGGTCGGACCTGTACACACTGACTACTGAGTCCCCTCAGGTTGCTGCGACTGCGTCAACGTCCGCGTCAGGTCAACTGTCCGCCCCCTGCTCGTGTCGCTCTTTGGCACACGAGACTGTCCTCTGGCACCACCGCCTTGGCCACCCGTCTGTGCAGCGGCTTCGTGCCATGCACTCCAGGTACCTTGTCTCTGGCCTGCCCAGGGTCCTTCCTCCCCTCCCACCCTCGCCTGCTCCTACCTGTCTCCCCTGTGTCGAGGGACGGCAGCGCGCCGCTCCTCACTCCTCCTCGTTCCCCCCGACGACTGCTCCCTTGCAGACACTCCACATGGACGTGTGGGGCCCAGCCCGCGTCCGTGGTCAGGGTCAGGAGAGGTACTTCCTGATAGTTGTTGACGACTACTCGCGCTACACCTCGGTCTTCCCCTTGCGCACCAAGGGTGAGGTCCCTGATGTCTTGATCCCTTGGATCCGCCGAGCCCGTCTCCAGCTCAGCGAGCGTTTTCACTCGGACTTTCCTGTCCTGCGCTTGCACTCTGACAGAGGTGGTGAGTTCTCCTCCGACCTCTTGGCAGCCTACTGTGCTGAGCACGGCATTGAGCAATCGTTC